GTGCCAGCCTGAGATTTTTGTGGACCAGTTGAACTAGATGTCGCTTGATGGACCCCATTTTGTGGACCAGTTGAACTAGATGTCGCTTGATGGACCCCATTTTGTGAACCAGTTGAACTAGATGTCGCTTGATGGACCCCATTTTGTGGACCAGTTGAACTAGATGTCACTTGCAGGACCCTATTTTGTGGACCAGTTGAACTAGATGTCACTTGATGGAACTCATTTTGTGGACCAGTTGAACTAGATGTAGCTTGATGGACCCCATTTTGTGGACCAGTTGAACTAGATGTAGCTTGATGGACCCCATTTTGTGGACCAGTTGAACTAGATGTCGCTTGATGGACCCCATTTTGTGGACCAGTTGAACTAGATGTAGCTTGATGGACCCCATTTTGTGGACCAGTTGAACTAGATGTCACTTGATGGACCCCATTTTGTGGACCAGTTGAACTAGATGTCACTTGCAGGACCCCATTTTGTGGACCAGTTGAACTAGATGTAGCTTGATGGACCCCATTTTGTGGACCAGTTGAACTAGAGCTTGTAAAAGTAAAAGCCAACTAATTAGGGGTGTTTTCTTTAGAGTTGGAGTGGATCTGCCTTAGAAGGAGCACTGTAATCCTGGAGCTAGGTTGGAGTGGATCTGCCTTAGAAGCAGCACTGTAATCCTGGAGCTAGGCTGGAGTGGATCTGCCTTAGAAGCAGCACTGTAATCCTGGAGCTAGGTTGTAGTGGATCTGCCTTAGAAGCAGCACTGTAATCCTGGAGCCAGGCCACAAAGGAAAAACATCCACAACTTTCTGGGCCACTAGAGTTAACAGCTGCTGAACACTAAGAATAAGAAACAATATCATGTGTGGGTGTGGCACATCAGTATATGCTTTGTTTAAACATGAAAAGTTGTGCTTGGTATATGACCTTTGTTTGGAATAGAACTCTCATGCTAGATCTTGTATGAGTCAAAATAAGTCCTGCCAGCACACGCTACCCTTGTTTGCCTCTCATTAATCAAGGCAATGTTTGCCAAATGTAGGAATGTCAAAACATTTGCAGAGAAGCATCACCCCAACAGAGCACAAGCATGCCATAATAGCATTGTCTGGAGTGACCAGGCCGTGTCACATTTCTGAAATCTCCTTAGGAGACGGCAGAAGCCAATTTTTTTTAGCACATTTGTAGTAAATGTCTCAGCCAGCTCCAGGGAGTGAACAGACAGAAAAATGGAAGAGAAGAAACACAAGCATTTTAGATTGCTTAAGTTTTTTTGGAAGGGAACTCTCCTTCCAAACAATAACATCTCCTCCTCCTCCCTTCTCAGTACCATCCTAATAGACACTCCACTCTTCTCAGCAAGGTAAAATCAGGTTGACATTGCGTTTGTTTCGTGTCATTGCTGTTGTGTTTATGTATTTTACTTTTCAGCAGTGTTTACATTATTTGCTACAACCCTATCAATGATTATTATGCCAATAACAATAGTATTTTGCATAGGAACAATTTAATTGTTCTCTATCTATTTCTCATGAGAAAATTTGTTTCGTATACATCCTATTTGGTGTCAGTCCAAGGATGTGGAACGGATTAGTGACGTATACTGAGGTACCCCCTAACATGCGTATCATAATGGCTGACTAATTAGGAGTGTTTCCTTCGGAGTCAGCATCTGCTTGAGAGGCCAACAGAGCATAGAAATCAGCCAGATCTGCAGAATGCATCTGCACACCAAGCTCAAGTTCTGCAACCATTCTCAAGTCTAAAAGTGGACACAGAACCAGAACTTTTCACTAGAGTTCACAGCTGCTCAACGCTTACCAACAATGAATATATATGTGTGTGTGTGAGAGAGTAGGGAGGGTGAATGAAATATTTAGCACATATTTGTTCAACTTTTAATTATTTATCAGTGTTTTGGTTAAAATTTCTGTTACAGTTGTGTAGACATTGTGTTCTGGCATTTATTGTTAATGTGATACCAAGTGTTGCAGCTTCCATATAGTCAAGTGATAGTGTAGTGTCTGTGTCTATGCATGCACTACCCTAACCTGTATACTAGACCAGTGTTCCTCAACGCATTGACACCCGCGACCCGCCAAAAACAGGGGGTAATTGTTTCACGACCCACCTGACAGTTAACCAAACACAAAAGCAAATTTAGACAATAGTTTATTCGTTAAATCTTATTTAATAGAATTAAACTTTCCAGCTAATGCAACATGTGCTGCTGCTTAAAGGCGAGACAGTCTGATGTCTGTGTCTGAAGCGTTGTTTAGATAGTCGAAGCGCTGCAATAACATTTATTGAATTTCTGCGTTTTCCTTTCAACAACTGTTTTGTGCAGTCAGATAGAGAGTTTCCCTGGGATTTGTACCAGTTGTACCTGTTTTGTTCTCACCCTTATGATGTTAGTCCTACAGAGTGCAGACTGGAAACTACCTACCCGACCCCTTTACACGATTAGTTAGAAATTATCGCCCTTCCACCTGGACTTGTTCGCGGCCCACCAGTGGGCCGTGGGTTGAAGAACACTGCACTAGATAGTTTCCCAGTAATCCAGTGAAAAGTTTGTGCATTTATCAACCTGCTAGCTTTGTTGTCCATTTAACTGTGCTGTACTTAAGTTGAAAGCTTGTTGTGTATCCTTTACAGGATGTTGCAGAATCAACCCCAGTATTTTTGTGTGTGGCTGTTGTGGTTTTTCAAGTCAATTTTTACCTTTAATGGTTTGCTGTTGCTCCTGAACGGTCAGCTCTCTGTGCCACTGTAGAAACCTAAACAAGACCTGCTGCAAATCGGCTGCAGCTGGGATCGAACCTTGTCACAGTACCTAAGCCACAGACTCGGCCGCCACTTGAGCAAAAGTCAGTCAAGGAGCTTTTTATGCTTGGGGCATATGGTGCAAGACCCAGACTATTATGTCAGTCAGCACTCTGTGGGTGATGTGACCACCTTTACGTCCCAGGACTATGCCCACTCCAGGCTGGGTCCATCTGGGAGCCAAAGTCTGGCTCTCTCAGGACTCGAACCCATGACCTTCCAATTCTTTCCGCTACACCACAGCCACCCCCCCCCCCAGTCAATTGGGGGAGAGGGGGGGGGGGGAGAGAAGGTGGTTTTATCATTTTTGTAAAACAAAACAAAAGCCTAGTGATTGTTCTATAACACATGTTTAGTGGGGTGATGGCCTGTAGCAGAGCTATTCAACTGGTGGGCCTAGCACATTGTGTGTCAGTTTGTGTGTGGGTAGCAGATTGTGTGTCAGTTTGTGTGTGGGTAGCAGATTGTGTGTATCTGTGTGTGTTTCCATGCTAGCCGGTACGTATGTATGTATGTATGTATGTATGCATCAAAGTAACCCGGGATTGTCGGGAGAATAATAATAATAAAGTACTACTATAACAAATAATTGCGCTAAATATTAGTAAATAAACAGATGGTGTGTTTACAGCAATTAGTAAAATAAAATAATAATTTTTCCACTTACCACCATAGCACTGAAGGAAATCTTGTTAAAATGTATTCAAAATGAATCACAAATAAACAGGAACCACTTAGTAATGTATAAGTAAAACATAAACTCAGTCTATGCATTAGATCTTGTTCCATAGAATCTTTTGAAACATAACAGAGCACCATTATTTGCTAAAGAAAACCGACTTTCCAAAACTATTAGTATCTTCACACAAAACAAAGTTTATGTAACATGCAGTTTGCCTCTAATTTGTAGCTATGATCCTAAATAATAAGGAAATTAGCACTTGAACTGACACTGAAGAAAATTGCCTTTTCCGTAATATATATTTTGTGTGTGCCAGCTGACTTTGCTATCGTTGTACCCTTCGCGTGAGGTTCAGGTACACATTAGACCTATTCCTCATCATAGTTTGACTCTTTAAATGACTGAAACAAGACTACTTCGCAATGTTATCTTTCTAATTGAGGATAAATCTAATAAACATGTGCTTCATTTAAATTTGAGGCTTCTGTAAATCATGTTGGCATGCATACAGAATACTGTTTAGCGGCCATATTGTTTTTCAAACAAACACTTAGTAACTTGGTCAGCCTCACAAATATACTATATTTTAGGCTTTCACCATGTTTCCAAATGAGTCTGATGGTCTGCACGCCTGTTATGAAACACAAAGAACTGGAAAGGAAGTTGAAATTGAGTGCTCAACATTTTATTACTGGCCAGTGGTCAGTTAAAAACCTTCACTTATCACATGCAGATTGAGCGACAGGTTTCTAACCAGTTAGCGCGTGATGCGTTTCTTGGGACTCACAGAGTTATCATATTGTAAGGCTAAGGGGTTTGTTAAGAAGCACTGTTGCTACTGAAGCAATCAGTTGTCAGCACTCATCTGCTGGGCTGAGTGCTTGGTGCCACGCTGGATTTCATGTGAAATGTTTCTTCTGTTGTACCCGCCACAGCTTTCTGTTGTGACCTGCACTAAAAATGACAGGTTGCCGATTATGTTCGGAAGGGCAAAAAAAAAGGAGAAACAGTTTATTGTTTCAACCCAAGTCTTTATCAACAGATAAGACAGCAAGAGGAAGGATCCTGTAGAATTAATAAAATGATGACTGAACATTCGCTGCAGTTGTGCAACATTTGCTGCAGGTGTGCAACATTTGCTGCAGGTGTGCAACATTTGCTGCAGGTGTGCAACATTTGGTCTAACCCAGCCTTCATTGTCTACCGGGAAAGTGTTTCTGGAAAGTAAAGGCAGCTGGCTTGTTACTGTTCTCTGTTACTTGAGTGCAGATTAGTCTACACAGTTAGGACTGGCACCATATATCTAATAAACCTCTAGGTGTAAAAAGGTGCCTTTTTTAAAAACCACTTTTATCTTCAGATGTCCACCAAAAGTCATCATGCAAATAATTATAATAGAAAAATCAGACGGATGACTTTGGTTGATTTCTGCTTTAAACAAATAATGCATTCTCTGATAGTTTAGAAATAAAATAATATTGTTTATTCTATAACTCAACAGGGATTTTTGGAGAAAGCCAAACTGTCCATACACAACTTGGTCCAGCGAGTTGGCTTCTTTGGCATTTTGGCATGTGCTTCAGTAAGTGTCAACCTGTGTACCTGTGTCTACAGTTCAGAGGTCACCATGGATAATATTATATAACCCATCAGTGTAATTGTTGATGTTCTTGTCCGGGCTATGCTACCTTGTAATCTGGGCTTTATCAGACATTTTCTGACATGTTCCATCCTCTGGTGCAACAGGCATACCAGGGTCTGTACTCATTGTTCCCAGTTTTTTGTGAAATGTCCGCTCTGTATCTACAATGTCATCTAACCGTTCATAGCAAGTTCTGTCAGTTGAGATTTTATATAACCTGTTCATAGATACTGGTTTATTCTGTTTTATTCTGGGTTTTTTTTTTGGAAGGGGGGGGGGGGGTCCTTATCCTCCTGCTCCTTAAGGTGTCATCAGAGGATGTAATCGTGTTGTGTCTGTGTCATCAGAGGTTGTAATCATGTTGTGTCTGTGTCATCAGAGGATGTAATCGTGTTGTGTCTGTGTCATCAGAGGATGTAATCGTGTTGTGTCTGTGTCATCAGAGGATGTAATCGTGTTGTGTCTGTGTCATCAGAGGATGTAATCGTGTTGTGTCTGTGTCATCAGAGGATGTAATCCTGTTGTTTCTGTTTACAACATAGATGCCATGTTTGCACCTTTCAGCTGTCATATCTGATTTCTAGAGGCATTCGTTTTCTGGGTTAGCCGTCCCAGAGATACTGATATGATTGCCACGTTTGTAGATGGTCTCTGTGTTTTTCATTTGTTGTTGTTTCCTGTCTTGGTTTGTGACCAGCCCACGAGAGTACTTTCAGAAGTTTTCTTTGTTCTGTTGTCGGCGTCCGATAAACCTGAAAGACATTCACATAAATGGCAAATGAAGCAACAATATATTCTCATTCAACTCGGTAGGACATCAGTTTCTGATACATGTCATGTGCTTGTCCGTTGAAAATGACCATGCTCTAATTAAGTTTAAAAGCAGGCATGTATACTAGCTCTCTGATCAACAGTCAGATCCAAACTCTTGTTAACTGGGACTTACTTTGTTTCATTGCAGATTCCAAACCCATTATTTGATCTAGCCGGGATTACTTGTGGCCATTTTCTCATTCCATTTTGGACATTTTTTGGTGCCACACTCATCGGCAAAGCCATCATTAAAATGCATATTCAGAAATTGTTCGTCATCTTCATCTTTAGTGCTCACCATGTCGAGACTGTGGTGAAACTCATTGGGTAAGTCTGATCGTTTTGTTGTAAACCTGTTTGTGGTTTTTATTATAGATCTCTTGGTGGCTTTTGCTATAGATTCAGTTGTGCTTCTTGTTATAGATGTCCTTGGGGTTGTTGTTCTAATTTTCTTTGTGCTTCCTGTTATAGAGTTTTTCTTTGTGGCTTTTATTATAAATCTTTCTTTGCTTCTTGCTATGTTTCTTTACTTGTTATAGATCTCTTTATGCTTCTTGGTAAAGATCTTTTTGTGCTGTTTTTTGTTGTTGTTATAGGTTCTTTGTGCTTCTTGTTTTAATGTTTCGTTGTTATTTGTTTGTTATAGTTCTTTGTGTGTGAAGTATGTTATTTTTATAGGTTTCTTTAAAGCTCTTCTTATTTCTGTTTGTGATTCATGTTCTGCCTTGTTGTGGTTCTTATTATATCTCTCTGATTCTTGTTATGTCTTTTTGTGCTTCTGTCTGTCATTTTTGATTCGTCTGTTTTTGGTTTTAGCTATGTGTCTTGGACATGAAATGTCAGCCCTCAGTTGCTCTCACAACTGCCAACTGTAGAAATTCTGTGGGTTATGCTGAAACTTGTACCTGCCAGAGATCAGCGGAAACTTGTACCTGCCAGAGATCAGCGGAAACTTTTACCTGCCAGTGATCAGCTGAAACTTGTACCTGCCAGAGATCAGCTGAAACTTGTACCTGCCAGAGATCAGCTAAAACTTGTACCTGCCAGAGATCAGCTGAAACTTTTGAGCTTTTGTGGTGTGATTCTAATTATTGCGGTGGGACTCACTGTCGGGCCTCACTGTGTCGGGCCTCACTGTGTCACATTGTGATGTGACTCTCTGTGGTTTGCTGGCTGTGACATGACTTACTGTGATGTGACTTTTCAGTTTGATTTGTTCTTGTATGACTGTGACATGACTTACTGTGATGTGACTTTTCAGTTTGATTTGTTCTTGTATGGCTGTGGCATGACTTACTGTGATGTGACTTTTCAGTTTGATTTGTTCTTGACTGGCTGTGACATGACTTACTGTGATGTGACTTTTCAGTTTGATTTGTTCTTGACTGGCTGTGACATGACTTACTGTGATGTGACTTTTCAGTTTGATTTGTTCTTGACTGGCTGTGGCATGACTTACTGTGATGTGTCTTTTCAGTTTGATTTGTTCTTGTATGACTGTGGCATGACTTACTGTGATGTGACTTTTCAGTTTGATTTGTTCTTGTATGACTGTGGCATGACTTACTGTGATGTGACTTTTCAGTTTGATTTGTTCTTGTATGACTGGCTGTGGCATGACTTACTGTGATGTGACTTTTCAGTTTGATTTGTTCTTGACTGGCTGTGGCATGACTTACTGTGATGTGACTTTTCAGTTTGATTTGTTCTTGACTGGCTGTGGCATGACTTACTGTGATGTGACTTTTCAGTTTGATTTGTTCTTGTATGACTGTGGCATGACTTACTGTGATGTGACTTTTCAGTTTGATTTGTTCTTGTATGACTGTGGCATGACTTACTGTGATGTGACTTTTCAGTTTGATTTGTTCTTGTATGACTGGCTGTGGCATGACTTACTGTGATGTGACTTTTCAGTTTGATTTGTTCTTGACTGGCTGTGGCATGACTTACTGTGATGTGACTTTTCAGTTTGATTTGTTCTTGACTGGCTGTGGCATGACTTACTGTGATGTGACTTTTCAGTTTGATTTGTTCTTGTATGACTGTGGCATGACTTACTGTGATGTGACTTTTCAGTTTGATTTGTTCTTGTATGACTGGCTGTGGCATGACTTACTGTGATGTGACTTTTCAGTTTGATTTGTTCTTGTATGACTGGCTGTGACATGACTTACTGTGATGTGACTTTTCAGTTTGATTTGTTCTTGACTGGCTGTGACATGACTTACTGTGATGTGACTTTTCAGTTTGATTTGTTCTTGTATGACTGTGGCATGACTTACTGTGATGTGACTTTTCAGTTTGATTTGTTCTTGTATGACTGGCTGTGGCATGACTTACTGTGATGTGACTTTTCAGTTTGATTTGTTCTTGTATGACTGGCTGTGACATGACTTACTGTGATGTGACTTTTCAGTTTGATTTGTTCTTGACTGGCTGTGACATGACTTACTGTGATGTGACTTTTCAGTTTGATTTGTTCTTGTATGACTGTGGCATGACTTACTGTGATGTGACTTTTCAGTTTGATTTGTTCTCTAGTATGACTGGCTGTGACATGACTTACTGTGATGTGACTTTTCAGTTTGATTTGTTCTTGTATGACTGGTTGTGGCATGACTTACTGTGATGTGACTTTTCAGTTTGATTTGTTCTTGTATGACTGGCTGTGGCATGACTTACTGTGATGTGACTTTTCAGTTTGATTTGTTCTTGTATGACTGGTTGTGACATGAGTTACTGTGGCGTCAGCACTGTCCGCTTACAGGTTCATGATTGTGTATTAACTAAACCATTCTAATTGAGCCTTCATCAATGTCTGTTATTCCCTTGTGAACTTCCGCAGGCTGATCCCCCATTTCGGGAGACTCATGCAGCATCCGTTCCAAGAGTACCTGGAGAAACAGAAGCAGAAACTTCACCACAAGCCAGGCGCTGGGCAAGAAGAAGGGGTAACTAGATTTTGTTGTTGTTGTTGTAACGAATGTTCTTTATCATATAGTTTTGAACTAACTCTTGTCAGGGTTCTGTGGGTCAAAGTTTATGTACATTTTCTCTGTCTGTCATAGTTTATAACCTGCGGCACAGAGCTGCAAGCGAATTAAAGTAAAAATGTTGAGAGCATGCATCTTTGCTGTGACAACTTTTAGATGTGGATCATGAACTCAAGTCGTTGAAGAAAAACATCGGAGCTTTTGAAATGAAATGCTACAGAAAAATTCTTGGGATACTGTGGACAAGAAGACAAATACAGACACTTTAGATGATCTGATCATGGAGGAGAAATGGCTTGTAAACAGCAGGCTGTCCCAAAAGCTGGGGTTGTTTGGTCATGTTAAACATCATGTTGGCCTGGAGAGAATGGGTGTTGGAGGGTACAGCTACAGGGAAACAATACAGGGGTAGATCTTCACAGAGTGGATACCAGATGTTGAAGTTACATTGACGATGAAAGCACATAGGGCTGGACAATTGGCTAGAAAAAGAGAGACTTTCAGGCATGTCGTGATGAGAGTAATGACCTGCTGATCAGTAATGATGATAAGTTGATGAACATTTTCTTTGTCAGTTGATGAACATTTTCTTTGTCAGTTGATGAACATTTTCTTTGTCAGTTGATGAACATTTTCTTTGTCAGTTGATGAACATTTTCTTTGTCAGTTGATGAACATTTTCTTTGTCAGTTTATGAACATTTTCTTTGTCAGTTTATGAACATTTTCTTTGTCAGTTGATGAACATTTTCTTTGTCAGTTTATAAACATTTTCTTTGTCAGTTGATGAACATTTTCTTTGTCAGTTTGTGAACAAGTTCCTTCTTTCTCATAGTTTTTAAATAGATTTGATTAATCAGTGTATGTTTATTTTGACATAAATGCTGTGTCCATGAGTTGCAACATCTTGTGCTGACTACAAAATGCTTGTATTGCTGTCCGGACAGGGAGGCAACATTCTGTCCTGGTGCTTTGAGAAGTTGGTGATGTTCATGGTGGCCTACTTTGTCCTGTCCATCTTCAACTCAATGGCCCAGAACTACCACAAAAGACTATGCAAGAACAACCGAGCTGGCAAAAAGGCAGTTCGCCCGACGTAATTTTATCTGAACAAATACTACACATTTTGCAGGGGGGGGGGGGGGGGGGGGGGGGGGGGGGGGGGGGGGGGGGGGGGGGGGTGGGGGGGGGGGGGGGGGGGTGAAATGAATGAATGCTGTGGCACATGATGAAATTGATTAAATATTTATTCATTCAGACCAGAATTTTTTTATGTGGTTGTTTCAATAAATTGTTTCATTATAATTTTTCTTGAACGTTGGAGTTTTTTTGTTGGTTATGATTATAATTATTTTTAGTTTTAGTTATTCAATTGCTGTTGGTTTTTAATTTGATAAGGAGTCTTGGTTTTTTTGAAAATTTATTGTAAAATTTTTTTGTTTGTTTTTCACAATTTGGTTTGTTCTGTTTACTGTTTGTTCCGTGTACAGTTGCTTGTAGAATTTATTGTTTATGCCTAAAGTTAGTTTTAAACATACAGTTAGTTGTCTGATAAGTGTACAATTAGTTGTTAGCCCAAGTTCATATAATTATTTCAGTTCATTGTTAGATAAGTATAATTAGTTGTTAGCTAGATGTTCAAATAATTATTTCAGTTCATTGTTAGATAAGTATAATTAGTTGTTAGCTAGATGTTCATATAATTATTTCAGTTCATTGTTAGATAAGTATAATTAGTTGTTAGCTAGATGTTCATATAATTATTTCAGTTCATTGTTAGATAAGTATAATTAGCTGTTAGCTAGATGTTCATATAATTATTTCAGTTCATTGTTAGATAAGTATAATTAGCTGTTAGCTAGATGTTCATATAATTATTTCAGTTCATTGTTAGATAAGTATAATTAGCTGTTAGCTAGATGTTCATATAATTATTTCAGTTCATTGTTAGATAAGTATAATTAGCTGTTAGCTAGATGTTCAAATAAATGTATAAGTGTATAACTGGTTATTGTGCTTTCAGTTTCAGTTCATTGTTAGATCATTATTTAATTAGTTGTTAGGTGGATGACCGTTCAATCATTGTTTGATAAGTGTGCATTTATTTGTCAAGGGATTGTTAATGCTACTTAATTGTTCAGTTACTCACAAGTGTAGTATACATCCGTTTGTTAAGTTTCTTCTTCTTCTGTGTTCACCAGCTGTCAGCTCCGGCAGAAAGTCTTGTTGTTTGTCTGTTTGGACTGGCTTTGTGCCCAGGCCTGTGTTCACCAGCTGTCAGCTCCGGCAGAAAGTCTTGTTGTTGGTCTGTTTGGACTGGCTTTGTGCCCAGGCCTGTGTTCACCAGCTGTCAGCTCCGGCAGAAAGTCTTGTTGTTTGTCTGTCTGGACTGGCTTTGTGCCCAGGCCTGTGTTCACCAGCTGTCAGCTCTGGCAGAAAGTCTTGTTGTTTGTCTGTTTGGACTGGCTTTGTGCCCAGGCCTGTGTTCACCAGCTGTCAGCTCTGGCAGAAAGTCTTGTTGTTGGTCTGTTTGGACTGGCTTTGTGCCCAGGCCTGTGTTCACCAGCTGTCAGCTCCGGCAGAAAGTCTTGTTGTTTGTCTGTCTGGACTGGCTTTGTGCCCAGGCCTGTGTTCACCAGCTGTCAGCTCCGGCAGAAAGTCTTGTTGTTGGTCTGTCTGGACTGGCTTTATGCCCAGGCCTGTGTTCACCAGCTGTCAGCTCCGGCAGAAAGTCTTGTTGTTGGTCTGTTTGGACTGGCTTTGTGCCCAGGCCTGTGTTCACCAGCTGTCAGCTCCGGCAGAAAGTCTTGTTGTTTGTCTGTCTGGACTGGCTTTATGCCCAGGCCTGTGTTCACCAGCTGTCAGCTCCGGCAGAAAGTCTTGTTGTTTGTCTGTTTGGACTGGCTTTGTGCCCAGGCCTGTGTTCACCAGCTGTCAGCTCCGGCAGAAAGTCTTGTTGTGTGTCTGTCTGGACTGGCTTTGTGCCCAGGCCTGTGTTCACCAGCTGTCAGCTCCGGCAGAAAGTCTTGTTGTTGGTCTGTTTGGACTGGCTTTGTGCCCAGGCCTGTGTTCACCAGCTGTCAGCTCCGGCAGAAAGTCTTGTTGTGTGTCTGTCTGGACTGGCTTTGTGCCCAGGCCTGTGTTCACCAGCTGTCAGCTCCGGCAGAAAGTCTTGTTGTTTGTCTGTCTGGACTGGCTTTATGCCCAGGCCTGTGTTCACCAGCTGTCAGCTCCGGCAGAAAGTCTTGTTGTTGGTCTGTTTGGACTGGCTTTGTGCCCAGGCCTGTGTTCACCAGCTGTCAGCTCCGGCAGAAAGTCTTGTTGTTTGTCTGTCTGGACTGGCTTTGTGCCCAGGCCTGTGTTCACCAGCTGTCATCTCCGGCAGAAAGTCTTGTTGTTTGTCTGTCTGGACTGGCTTTGTGCCCAGGCCTGTGTTCACCAGCTGTCAGCTCCGGCAGAAAGTCTTGTTGTTTGTCTGTTTGGACTGGCTTTGTGCCCAGGCCTGTGTTCACCAGCTGTCAGCTCCAGCAGAAAGTCTTGTTGTTTGTCTGTCTGGACTGGCTTTGTGCCCAGGCCTGTGTTCACCAGCTGTCAGCTCCGGCAGAAAGTCTTGTTGTTTGTCTGTTTGGACTGGCTTTGTGCCCAGGCCTGTGTTCACCAGCTGTCAGCTCCGGCAGAAAGTCTTGTTTGTCTGTCTGGACTGGCTTTGTGCCCAGGCCTGTGTTCACCAGCTGTCAGCTCCGGCAGAAAGTCTTGTTGTTTGTCTGTCTGGACTGGCTTTGTGCCCAGGCCTGTGTTCACCAGCTGTCAGCTCCGGCAGAAAGTCTTGTTGTTTGTCTGTTTGAACTGGCTTTGTGCCCAGGCCTGTGTTCACCAGCTGTCAGCTCCGGCAGAAAGTCTTGTTGTTGGTCTGTTTGGACTGGCTTTGTGCCCAGGCCTGTGTTCACCAGCTGTCAGCTCCGGCAGAAAGTCTTGTTGTTTGTCTGTCTGGACTGGCTTTGTGCCCAGGCCTGTGTCTACATGTTTTATTGGTTTATTTGTGAGCAGTTGGTTGTTTCTGGCTGCCCAGGCAGATGCTCTCTGACTTGGAAGGAAGTCCCCAAAAAGTCAACTTCTACAACATGCTGGTTGGAGAGGCAGTGGGTCTGTTCTTGTTTACCCTACATTAGGACCTCGGGACCCACACGCAGAGTTTGTTAAGTGTACAATTAGTTGTTAATCAAACAGTTAATTGTTAGTTAAGTATATTATTTATTTTTAAGTTTTCTTTTATTATGTTTACAGATAGTAAAGCCAAATGTACAGTTGTCTGTTAAGTAAGCTCACATGTGGTTGTTAATTTCATGTACATTTAGTAGTTAGTTATTTACCAGTAACATTGTTAATGTACAGCTGTGGTGTAGTGGCTAGATGCTTGCTTGCAGATTGGAAAGTCATAGGTTCATAAGGAAAAAAAATTGACCTTGGCTTCCAGGATGGGATGACCCAGCCCTAAATAAGTACCTGATAAAGTCCTCAGAAGTAAAGGCGGCTGCCATGATGCTAACCACACAACCCACTGAGAGTCAACTGGTCTGTAAAACTCAAGTCTAGCCATATTTGCCCAGTATGTGTGGCGGCAGGGAAAGAGTCCTGTTTGTGTGTGTGTGTGTATGTATACAGAATGTATCATTCATTTTTAGTTAAATGAATAGTTGTTATTTACCAGTGAAGTTAATTGTTAATTTAGAAAACAAATAATTGTTACTTACAGTAAAATTGATTGTTAGTTCATATTGCAATTGACTGTTACAGGTACAGTTGGTTTTTTGTTGACGTCCCATTTACGGTAAAGATAATTACAGATATCCAAATGTGTGTGGCTCAGCTATAGGGCCCTCATGTAATCGTGTGAAAGTCCAGTGTCTCATGAGACACCTCAATCCCTGGGACCCACATTACCTGCATGGTCAAGGCTATGGACATAATGTTCAGTAGTAATCTTCCCACGTTCATATTGAGTGCACCTAAATATGTTTGGTTCACCCACGTACATGTGGTGTACCCAGATATGTTTGGTTCACCCACTTACATGTGGTGTACCCAGATATGTTTGGTTCACCCACGTACATGTGGTGTACCCAGATATGTTTGGTTCACCCACGTACATGTGGTGTACCCAGATATGTTTGGTTCACCCACGTACATGTGGTGTACCCAGATATGTTTGGTTCACCCACGTACATGTGGTGTACCCAGATATGTTTGGTTCACTCACGTACATGTGGTGTACCCAGATATGTTTGGTTCACCCACGTACATGTGGTGTACCCAGATATGTTTGGTTCACCCACGTACAAGTGGTGTACCCAGATATGTTTGGTTCACCCACGTACATGTGGTGTACCCAGATATGTTTGGTTCACCCACGTACATGTGGTATACTGTGATTGAATAAGTCATGTTTTTCAATATTTTCTTGTGCATATGATTTGCATTGTTATGTTTTATCTTGTCATTTATTTTGACTTTTTTTTCTGAAGAACTCCACAATCTGACGGGGTTTATGGTTCTGATGTTTGTATTCATTGAATGATTATTTAATGAACAGCTCTAAGTATGTTTTGTGGTTGCTGCTTGTTTGGTTGACTTGTCATTCCTCAAACTTGTCCATTGACATGATCCCACTCCGTCGTTGGCCAGGGGTGGCATTTATTTATTTTAGATATCCAGGTCGGCTTTTTACATTCACATTAGAACTCCAAGATCAACAAATTGATACAATTAAAACTGTGGAAGTATTTTCACAAAGATGGCCACTTGGCAGGTGGATTAATAGCAAGATGCCAGCAGGCTAATCCAGTCATGTGACAGCTGTCAACAATGCTCAGATATCGTCATGGAAACACAGATAACTCTTTAATGTCAGTCTTGCAAACTCCAACCCATGTCAGACCAGGTAACTAATGAAACTGCAGGAGAGGAAGATCAATTATAGGATCAGATGCAAAAAAAGACTCAGTGTAAGCAGATGAGGAAAAGACATCTAAGAACCTCATCATGGTTATTTCATCATCCAGTGAGAATGTAACCTACACAACTAATTCTGTTTGCCTAGGTCTGTAGAAGAATTGGGTTAGGAGCATGAGGAAGACCATGGAGCAGATGGATCAATACCGTACAATGACACAGGCTAACATTAGATGGCATGAGGGCATACATGCATCTCTCTATAACACTGTACAGTGACACAGGCTAACATTAGATGGCATGAGGGCATATATGCATCTCTCTCTAACACTGTACAATGACACAGGCTAACATTAGATGACATGAGGGCATACATGCATCTCTCTATAACACTGTACAGTGACACAGGCTAACATTAGATGGCATGAGGGCATATATGCATCTCTCTCTAACACTGTACAATGACACAGGCCAACATTTGCTGGCAAAACACAGATGGCATCTCAGAGCATACAATTCATCTGAATATAAAACAGTTTTCTACTGGTTTGGCAGTGGATAGATATTACAAGACTTATTTAGTCTTCTTCCTCACATTCACAGGATGTAAACTTGGGTGGAAAGTTCTGGAGATTAGGCTTGTTGCGGAACTGGTTTGCCTGCACTCTGGGACCACCTGCCACAGGGAGCCATGTATTGGACACATCCAGGGGAAGGCCAGGCAAAATAAGAAACACCAGCATCCACAAGAGCCATGACTGTACCTTGGAAACATCACACACAAGTTGTTCAGATTGCCCAACACTTGGCTGAAGTAACTCAAGGTAGTGAAGACAAAGAAGATGAATTCACTTGAAAACTGGAACTGAGGGAGTTAAAGCAACAACTGGCATTATGTGGATTCATATGGTAACTTGATGGAGAGGAAGAGGTGAAGACAGTTCATCATGTTGAGGTAGCCAGTGAATTTCTGTTGTATTTGCTGGGCTGTGGGTGAGTTCATATTCAGCTGTCTAGAGTAGAAAAAGTCAACTATTATGTATGAGTATTTGTTGTGATCAGAACTTGCAATGTTTATGGGATTACCCAGAGGGTACTGTTTGTACTGCCGTGGTGTAAGTGGCTAGGCGCTCACCTGCGGATCCGAAAGTCTTCGGTTCAAATGTGTTGAGAGCGGGATTTTTTCCTAAACCATGGCCTTGGTTCCCAGGTCGACCCAGCCATATATGGGTACCAGGTAAAGTCCTGAGAAGTAAAGGCGGCCTATGTGATGCTGCCGACATCACCAATTGAGTGCCTGTTGGTCTCTAAACTTACTGAGTCTAGCCTTTGGCGCCGATGGTGTGTGAAAGTTCCTTGACTTGACTGACTGTTTGTTTGATCCGAGCATTATGGTTTTTATAATATCCTCAACTGAATGTATGTGTATGCATCAGTTGTCATGGTAACAATAATACAACAATTTGCATCGTTATTGCAACAGTGATGTTATAGTGGCCTACTCTCAGGAGCTGCAGTAGTGCAGCTACTAGAACACTTGCCAGCTGACTGAATGGTGTAGGTTTGAATCCCTATTGAGACAGTTTATTGCACAATTTATTGCTGGACTTGTTTTCTTCTGCCCTTTAGCTGCTAATGAAGCATAGGAGCATGGACCTTACTGTCTTTTGTAGGCTCACCCCTTATCCTCCAGATCTTTTTCATGCTGTGTTTGACTGTGTCTGGTAATCTTAGTGTCAACTTCAAAGCAAATAGGTCACCCCATAGTTGCTCCGCTCTTGTGTCAACGACAAACACACACACTGTCCCATGTGGAAACATTGACACAGACTACAGTCCCAGCATATCCACTAGCATACACCAGCATCAAAAGCACCGGGCAGCCATCAGATGTGCTGACACAAACAGTCCAACATTAGAAATACAGTCACCCTCGACGGAAGCAGCAGTAACAGACAGGTCAATAGATGCACATGTAATCAGTTTTAATCACATAAGGCACCACCACTTCTGTGGCAACAGGCCGAGCGCCATTTTCTGAATCTACAGTTCACAACACAACATTGGTAATAGTAGAAAAACATTCTAAATGGAAATCTGTTGCTCATAGTGTCACACCATGCATCCAAGTCAGTAGCTGAAAGACAAAACTATATCCTTTCAGTCTACAAATGGAGGAAAATTAACCGTCACTGTCAGAAGCAAAAAATGTGCCACGACTAAACACAGTAACCCCGCCTATCGTCCATTTTTACCAGTATATAAATGCAGAAATAAGCCAGACAAGAGACTGTACAAAATGTTGATTTTGTCCCCTTTATTTAGATGATACAAAATGTCTACCTTGTCTGTTACGATTGTTCCCGCCAAGTGTACTTGTAGAGCCAACAGATCTGCTCATTTTTTACCCAGCACTCTAGCATATCCTGCAGAGTATATCCATGTAAGTCTGTGATATCCATCAAATTCCATGCCAGTCCATGATATCCCTATCTCTGGTTTTTTTCGCCATCACCCTTTTCATTCCCTGTGTGCCCAGTTCTTAACTTTCTGAAAATAAAGTTTGTTCCTTCATTCCATCTCCTCTTAGAACCTTTTTAAGTGTTTTTCTTTCATGAAATCTGAGGAATGCTTCTGTGCATGCTGGGTGTAACTGCACTAAACAAACAGCTGTATCAGCACCAGGTTTTTATCAGTAGTTGTAACAACATTCAAATTTGTCTCATATTTCTGTGTTGTTATATCAGCTCATCAAGTTGTCCAACTTACTGCCTTTTGGCAAAGCAACAATGGTTGATGTCACCATATGGACATCTGCCATGCTTGTCCTAGCAGTGCTGATATCACCCTGTTTGTCATAGCAACGGTGATGTCACCATATCTCTGCCACCATATTTGACATTAGAGGCATTGATGTCATGTCCAGAGCTGATATAGAATGGTGTGATGTTGTCACAGAAACCAGAAAGTCATCACTAGGAAACATTCCCTTTTATTACTCGTTTCTTTTTTCTATCCTTGTTATCAAATCACACATTAGAGCATAATGAAGTTCTAACTGAAATAACAGTCTGAAATTATGTTGCTGTTAATAGTGAAGGTTATTTTATTGTCAATTTAATTGCTTGATGTTAATTTGCTGAATCCTGAAGTGGTGGTTTTCCCTGCATTGTGAAGTTTGATCCCAGAAATACTGGAGATGTAGACAAAAAATATGATGATAATTTCATTGTGGAGGTAACTCTGGATTGTTTGCTGAAATCTGAAACAGTAGATGGTTTATATTATCCTAGAAAACCAGGATGGTGTAGATATGAAAAATCAGCTTCTTCAGACCACGTAATCAGAAAGGAACAACTGGAAAAAATATGAATGTGTGGTAATTGTTTGATTTTATGATTCATCGATTGATGATATACGTGGGTCATTGGTTGAATTTATATCTGGGTAATTGCTTAATAGATTGAAGCTATTCACATGTCACCTTTTTGATTGATGCCTGGGTAATTACTTGAATGATTGAAGTTGTATGTGGTTAATTGGTTGAATTAGTGAATGGGTATTTGCTTCATTGATTGAAGCTGTAAGTGGGTAACTAGTTAAATTTAGATCTGAATATTTGCTTCATCAATTGAAGATGTATGTGGGTAATTGGTTAAACTAATGTCTGGTTAATTGCTTCATTGACTGGGTAACTGGTTGAATTAATTTCTGGGTAATTGCTTCTTTGATGAATCTATGCTTCTTGAATCTATGCCGAGCTGATTGGTTGAATCTTTACCTGGGTAATTACCTGAAGGTATATGTGTGTGTATTTCCATGAAGTTATGCCGGTGTATGTACTATTTGTGTTCTCTGTGCTCTGGCTTGAATGTTTAATCACCAGATTTTGTGTAGAAGTTGATGTGATCTATGTGTAGTTGGAGATGTAAAATAACACATCATATGTACAAGAAGTGAATACATGTTGGTTGTGATGTGTAAATGCCATGATATGAGATGTGCAGAGTTTGAATACCCTTGTTATTTGTTCTTGTTTGCCAATATGTGTATTCCTCCCACTTTTTACCACCATCACATTGTTGTGACCAAAGCTCTACCACCATCACATTGTTGTGACAAAAACATCCAAAATTGATATTGATTGTTGTCTAAAGAGACGCAAGAAGTAACAGATTTAATTGATAATTGTAAATGGCACTGTTGTGTTACAGACAGGCCTTGTCTCTCCAGCAGGTATCACAGAAAATGTTGCTAGCAACCCACACACACCACACCCAGTGCTGATTGCTGTATACACATGTGGGGCAAGCACTGTATACCCATTGTCGAAGTGTGTGATGGAAACAAGTTCAGGAAGTGAGAGAAATATTGGCGTATATGATGCTCACATTCTGTTTCTTATATCATGAACCAGAGAATAAACAGTTTCTTATATTCATAATAAATCATGTTCATGCTATGTGAAGTTTTTGATTTAACATCATCATCAGCAGCATGTGCCAGTTAACTTGAACACTCAGACTTCACCGTCTCACAAGCCCCACACAGTCTGACCTAGTTATGCCATTTGTTCAAACCAGTCAAGTATTCCTCTCCTTGTCTTTCTTCTGGCCTCTTCCCTTCAGGTTTCTTGACTTTCAGAATCCACGACTGCATACTCTGGCATCCTGCGTACACTATCAAACTAGCCTCTATCAAATGTTTCCTTTGTTCTTGTCATTTCACCTACTTCGTTGACTTCCTTGTTATTTTGTGTGTGTCCATCTATCCTTGAGAACATTAGGAGAGGAGTGGGTCAAAGTGCCACCTGAACAGTCAGACTTGTGTAGGGTCATAATCACACTGAGCCAGGAATGCAGAGACTGCCCAGCAGGTGCCACAGAGGTGGAAATTCAGCAATTAATTCAAGATAATGCTCGCTCAGAGGATTTGATCATTTACACAGACGGTTCAGTGTCAAGAGGCAAGAGAAGTGTTTGGGGTTTCTCAGCAAAAGTTAATGGTCAACGTTTGGTACAGGAGAGCCTAGCATATGATACAACAACATCCAGCTTAAGAATGGAGGTGGAGGCGGTCACTGCAGCTTTCCGCTGGCTAGAGAACACGACACACACACACTTTGTGTTGTAACTGACTCAGAAAGCATGCTGAGGAAGATCAGGACAGGCATGCTTTGTGCAGAGTGGCATGCCTCGCTACGGATGACACGGGTGAGGAGTATGGTCTGGATTTTTTCACCAGGGCAAGCCGGTGTGTTTGGGAAATAAACAGGCGGACAGACTGGCTGGCTCTGCACAGCTTGGTGGAATACTGATGCATGATAAGGCAGACGTGGTTAGTGCCTTGTGGGAAAGCTTGTACAGTTCGGAGGAGCAGATTGATCACCACAGTGTAGTGAGATTGATGCAGTTGGGAGTGACGAGAGGTTCTGGCAGAAGCTCAAGGCTCAGAGGAAAGGCAAGACGGACGTTTAATCAGAAGGCTAATGGCACCATTAGTATCGGAACGCTTCGCTGGCTGCTGAAGATGGGGACGAAGTGCTTATGGGAATGCCCGAGTGCTGTGATGTCGATTCTTGAATCAGATCAAATCAAATCAAATCATGTGTGTCCGTCAATTATCTGCCAGAGCACTACTGTTACATGGCTTCATCATTTCTGTTTTGTCCAGCAGGTTTTTTGTTTTCTTTAAATCTCATTATATGTGTTTTGTCCAGCATTCTGTCTCACCTCATTATTTAAGTATTGTCTGCCAT